AAACCACCCAACCTGCGCATCGCTCTCAATCTAGCATGGCCAATCCACCCAACCTGCACATCCCTCTCATCTAGTACGGCCAATCTACCTAACCTGCACATCTTTCGACTGTGGGAGGAATCCAGAGCACCTGGAACAAACGCACACAGACACGGGCAGAATGTGCAAACTCCACACAGACTGTCATCAAAGGCTGGAATTGAACCTGGGTCTCTGGCACTGTGTGGCAGCAATGTTAACCACTGAGCCACTTTTACCAAAAAGGATGAGTGGGGATTCTTCCCCAACTACAGATAATGAGAAAGGGAAGTAATTGGTGGAGTTTATTGCTCCTTATCTCTGTCCCCTTCCTCCCCCCAGTCCTCTCTTCCAAATGGCCCCACCTAAGCAGAGGGAAAGACTTCCTTCCCTACTGTTGCATCCCCTGAAGAATAGGCCTTGACTAGGGACTTTAGGACGCAGCAGCGGCCAACCTCTGATTGGCTTCTGCTGACCCAGGACACCACTGCTGACACCTGTGATAGGCTGAACTTTTCACTGAAGTTCACCTCTTCTTAAACTGGTTAGTACACTGTTGGTCGCAGTGGAGGTGGGGAATAAGTGGAAACTTATCTACAAGGGTCAGTTGGAGAAGCTAAGATTGTTTCCCTTGAAATGAAGAGAGTTAAAAGGAGATTTAATTTGAGGTGTTCAATCAAGGCCAGGTTTCAATAAGTCAGACGAAGGAAAGCAGTTCTCCCAGGACTAGGGAACACAATTTTAAGGTTTGCAGCATTCCTTCTTCTACTGACACAAGGTGGCAGCAGCATGCACCATCAACAAGATGCACCACAGTAACCCTCCAAGTCTCCTTTGATAGAAATTTCCAAATTCACAACCAGTCCCATTGGGATGGACATGGGTACTGCATACATGGGAACAGGAGTTCCCTCTAATTTTCTAACAGGTGGGGTGGGCCTCCAAGGTCAGAGTGTGGCAGTGAGGTCAATGCTGTGATCAGCACACTGATGCCAGTTGCCATGCGTGCAACCTTGAAACAGCTACATGCACGTGCACCCACGTAGCTTAGAGGCGACATTGATGGGAGCACTACCTCTGCGAGTTCACCTCCAAGCCACTCACCGTCCTGATTTGGAAATATATCACCGTCACTGTCACTGGGTCAAAATACTGGAATTCCCTCCCTAAGGGCATTGTGGGTCTGCCTACAGCACATAGACTGTAGCAGTTCAAGGAGGCAGCTCACCTCCACCTTCTCAAGAGCTCAGCCTGCAGTACCTGCATCCCGTGAGTGAAAAAAATTCAACTAAGAAACCAGTAATACTGGAGCATGAATCTATCGGTTTGACTGGAGCTCCATTCTGAAGTATCTGAGTCACACCAGTACATCCCATTTGCCAGTTTAACTGGTTTTCCTGGCTTACTGGGTGTGTAATATATGGTCTGTAAGCTAGTGTTTGTAGGATAAATGATCCATGTGGGAGCTTTCCATCATGTGGGACAATGCTTTACATCAACTCTGTGTTAAACAAACATCATGCTTATGGCTCAGGTCTCTCCATTGTGCCACCTTAGCTGCAGAGGAAGCCTGAAGGCTGAGAAGGTGGATAGCTCTCTGGTCTCTGTCTTGTCTGATTCATAAAGCACCTTCATCAGAAAATTTGGGAACACTGAACTTATTAATAATGTATAGACCTGGGGTTTCAAATGATAAGTTTATTTTACGGAGACACCCAATGGAGTTGGAACTCTAGCCCATGGAGCTCCAAGTAAGATATTGTCTCTAACCCATTTACCGTATAGATATTTTCTAATCAACCTGTTCAAACATGCTATTACACATCTCAGGAGCAGATGGGACTTAAACCCAGGTCTCCTGCAACTCCACCAAAACTCAACAACAACCAGTTTAACATAGCCTATCCATGACATTCAGCGTTCCCTACCTCCCCCCAACACTCAGTAGCAGCAGTGTGTACCATCGACAAGGTGTACTGCAGCAATTCCTTAAGCGTACATAGCCAATACCTTCCAAATCTCTGACCTGAACCATTTAGAAGGATAATGGCAACGAATGCATGAAAATACCATGATTTATGAGTTTGCCTCCGAACCACACAACATCCTGACTTGGAAATATATCACTGTTTCTTCAATGTTGCTGGGTCAAAGTCCTGGAACCTTCTCCCAACAGCACTGTGGCTGTCCCTTCCCCTCAAGACCTGCATTGTTTCAAGAAGGCAGTTCCTCACCACCTTCTATAGGGAATTAAGGATGGGCAATAAATGCTGTTTTTGCCAGTGACCCCTAAATCCCATGAACAAATACATTTAAAATCATGATTCAAAGAAAGTTTGTGCTTGTTTCTGAGTCCATCTCCCTGGATCAACATAAAGTGGGTTTTATCTACAATATTGGCTGATAAAACACCAACAACTCATACACATACCAGATCCTGAGGGGATTTGATAGCTGTCAGAGGGCAAATGGGACATACTGGTGTCACTTGTATACTTCAGAATGGAACTCCAGTCCCACCAATAAATTCATTCCCCAATATTACTGGTTTCTTAGTGGCAAGATGCATGTGGAAAAGACATTGTGTCTTGTGGGAGTAACTAGAATTAGGGTTACTATTTTGAAATAAGACAGAGATGTGGATGGTTTTTTTCATTGAGTCTTTGGAACTTTTTCCCTTAAAAGGCAGTGGAAACATTGTCTTGAAATGATTTGTTTTGAGGCAGAGGGAGATAGATTATTGATAAGCAAAGTGCTCTCGGAGTATTCTGAAAATGGTCCAATTCCCTTTTGAAAACCACGATCAAATCCACCCCCACCACATTGACAGGAGGTACGTTCCAGATCCTAACTACTCACTACCTAGAGTGTGTTTCCGGCATTATAGAGGGGGCTGTGAGTGTAGACAGTACTTCCATGTAGGAAACTCAGCAGCCAACTTCTGCACAGCAAGCTCCCACAATTAGCAACTGGACAAATGACCGCAACAATTAAAAAAAATGGAAAATACTGCAAATGCTGGAAATCTGAAACCAACACAGAGAATATGGCTGGAGAAACTCCTGAAGAACAGTCACACTGGACTTGAGATAATAGGAACTGTCGATGCTAGAGTCAGAGATAACACGGTGTGGAGCTGGATGAACACAGCAGGCCAGGCAGCATCAGAGGAGCAGGAAAGCTGACGTTTCAGGTCTGGACCCTTCTTCAGAAAAATTTAGCTTCAGAAATTCTTCAAGGGTGCAGACCCGAAACGTCAGCTTTCCTGCTCCTCTTGATGCTGCCTGGCCTGCTGTGTTCATCCAGCTCCACACCTTGTTACCACTAGACTTTGAAACGTTATCTGTTTCTCTCTCTCTCCACAAAAGGCCAGGAATCAGATTGGCCATGGTCTATGTTGAATGGCAAATCAGGGTCGAGGGGGGCAGAGTGGCCTACTCCTGTTCCTAACCGGCTTGGCTGGTGTGTCGAATTTGTCACAAAACTTGTGCTGACACAGCTGAGAGTGAACAGTCCTGCCCTGGGAGTGAATGTATGAATGGCCGACACTGACTGGCAGCTCAACTGCTCAATAGGAGAAGAGTCAGGCAGGGCCCGCCCATGCCACTGAGCCAACTAGAGAGGAGAGGGCAGGGGCTTGAGGGGGGGACGGTGTGATGAAGGCGGTAATGTTCCAGGAGACTGGGAGGCAGAAGTGGCAGGCAGGCATACTGCAGTGCACCTTAAAACTGGGTTCAACTAGCTGAGCCAGCAGTGGGTTAACTCCAGCTTCTGCAATTCTTTTTGGAGCCGAGGAAATTTGAAGCAAGCCAGTTGCTAAAGGAAAAAAAAAGAAACTTTCTGTTTTTGGGGGGAGGTGGAAAAGTTTGTAAAAAGTTGGTGAAAGTTTGCCCCAGCTGCGATGTTGGGATTGTGAGTGCCTGTGGTTTGGGAGGGGAGGGGGGAGGTGGTTTTGTTGGAGAGGTGTGTGGAAGTTATGGCTGTATATACTCTGACCGGCTTCTCCTTGCTTAGTTTATTGTCTTTCGGTTATTTGTCCTGGGATTGGATGAAGCCGGGTTTAAACGGGAAGAAAGTGCCCAGCCTGGATAAGGGCAGTGCCAGGGCGAAGCCTCATATTGTCTTCATCCTGGCGGATGACCAGGGTTTTCATGATATCGGGTACCACAATTCAGACATCCATACTCCGACCATGGACCAACTGGCCGCCGAGGGGGTGAAACTGGAGAATTACTACATCCAGCCCATCTGTACCCCGTCCAGGAGTCAGCTCATTACTGGGAGGTGAGTTTCACCGCGGTCCTCCAATCTCTCTCCCTGCCTGCAACTGTCGAGACTAAAAGATTTGTGTAGCGCCTGCCGCAACCTCAGGGCTCGCCAGACCCCTTCACAGCCCGTGAGGCGGTGCCTGACCGCGGGCCGTTCGGCCAGGTGCCCGTGCTAGCCCTCTGCAAGGGCCCACCGGCACTACTCCCGCTGTCTCGTCTCTCCCCACAACATTGGATGTAAGTGGAGTGCAGCGGCTACAGGGAAAAGGCCATGAGACTGGTTCTAATCATAGAAATCATAGCGTCCCTACATTGTGGATGAAGCCCATTCAGTCTATCAATTCTGCACCAATACTCTGAAGAGCATCCTATCTCACCACCCAACACCACCCTATCTTGGGAACCCCACATTTCCCATGGCTAACCCACCTTGTCTGCACATCCCTGGATGCTATGCTCAATTTAACATGACCAATCCACCTAACCTGCATATCTTAGGGTAATACAGTGGCTCAGTGTTTAGCACTGCTGCCTCACAGCACCAGGGATCTGGGTTTGATTCCACCCTGGGGCGACTGTCTATGTGGAGTTTGCACATCTTCCTACTGACTGTGTAGGTTTCCTCCAGGTGCTCTGGTTTCCTCCCACAGTCCAAAGATGTGCAGGTTAGGTGGATTGACCATGCTAAATTGTCCCGTAGTGTCCAGGGACATGCAGGTTGAGTGGGTTGACCGTGGGAAATGCAGGGTAATGGGGATAGGGTAGGGGGTGGGTCTGTGTAGGATGCTGTTCGGAGGGTCGATGCATACTTGATGGTCCAAAAGGCCTCTTTCCGCACTTTGGCATTCTGTAATTCTAGGTAATAGAATTGGTGCAGGCTTGATGGAGCAAATGGTCATCTTCTGAGATATAACAATCCTGTGATTCCTCTTCAGAAAATGGTCCAATTTCCTTTTGAAAACCATGGTCGAATCTACCCACCTAACTGTCCTCTGGGCAATTAGGGACGGGCAATAAATGCTGCCTAGCCAGTGAGACCCTCATCCCCTGAATGAGTAATTCACAGGCAGTGCATTCTAAATCCTAACTGCTCACTGCTCTGCCTGCGTTTCCTACATTACAACTGAGGTTGCAAGTGTAGACAGTGGTCCAGTGTAGGAAAATCAGCAGCCAGTTTTTACACAGCAAGCTCCCACAGTCAGCAAATGACCACATCAATACAAAAACAGGAAATACTCAGCAAAGGCAGGCAAAATCCCTGAGCCAGGACGAGACGAGTTAAACTTTCAGGTGATTAATTGGGTCGACTGATCTTTGCTGTCTGAGGGAATCGAGGACGAGTCGCGTTGAAGCCCAACATTCGGCCTGGTCTAATTGAGTGGTGATGCAGGCTCAATGGGCCGAATGGTCTACTCCAGCTATTATTTCTGGTGAGATTTAATACAGCTGTTCGAACTCCGGAAGGGTCCAGACAAAGTATGTAGGAAAGAACTGTTCCCATTGACAAAATCATCGAGAAGGAGAGGACTTTCATTTAACATGATTGGCAAACGAACCAAGGATGACATGAAGAAACAATTTGTTTCATGGTGCAACTGGTGAGGGTGTGGAATTAAGATCAGGCATTCCTGAAAGGCTTTTGAAAGGGAACAAGAAACATTTGTAGGGCTACAGGAAAAAGGTGGGACTTATTGAGTCACTCCTGCTGGCAGAGAGCCAGTATGTGTGTGATGGGCTGAATGGTCTCTTTCTGTGTTGTGGTTACTCTGTGAATCTCTGATTCTCTAATCATGTAATCTGCTTTAATAGTGATTGTGGTGGTTTGGAAAGATAAAGGGAGTCCCAGGACAGCAGGGAGAAAGCCCATTCCTCATCATTGCTCTGCCCATTATCTTTAAAATAGCGGATGTGGGATCTTTTCCATCTACTTTAGAAGGTAGATGGAATAATATCTAATTGCGGCACTGCACTGGGGGCATCAAGCTGGATTTTCTGCTTAAATCTCTGGTCTGAGACTCAATTACTCAATAATGTGCTCACCAGAAAGCCATGGATAAAGCTGATAAAAAGGGGAAATATTTTCATTCTATTTATAAATATTTTGCAAATTTATGCAATTATATTGCTAAGTTTTATCTATTACTTGCCAATATTTCTCATTATAGATTCCTATTAATACTTCGACAAGATCTATGATGAAACTTCTCAAGGTGCAGTTGTGCAGACAGTGCAAAAAAATTAGTCTGATAAGTTTATACAGATGGTCTCCATTATAAACATGGACACAGGCAATTGTATTGGAAATCTGTCTGAAAATAAACATATATGACATTTAAATAGAGCTAAAATGACTTGTGCAAGCAATTCAATTATTCCTTGCGAGCACCACAATGTTGTAGGTCAAATGAAAGATGTATATGAATAATTTTGTCTGGCTATCTCCCACCTTTTCCCACTAAAAGTTCCACAACTTACTTTTATCATGTAAACCTGCCACATTGTAATTACTCCACTGGAGACACTGCAATATCTCCAGCAGCAATGAGCAGCAACTACAATATGATCAGTGCAGGCAGTCCCCAGACTGAAGAATGTTCTGTTCTTCAGTCCATTCACAAATCGATTTGTAAGCAGGTTGGAACACAGTATAAAGCAGCCATTCATGAGTACAGCAAATGTGTGTATGTTGGATCTTTACAATTCCCCTATAGGATCGCATTCATAATTATGAGCGTTCAAAGTCAAACATTCATAAATCAGCGACCGTATGTAGACTGATATTTCCCATTATAAGTATGGCCATTGTATGATACAACATAAAATTATACTATGTGACTTCAAACTAAGAATTTAAATATATCTGTTCTTTGGGCTAGCGGTTACCTGGTCATTAATTTGACCCCTGTACCCATCACCATAAGACCACCATCACCATAGCAGGAGGTGATGGCCCTAGTGGTATTAACTCTCGACTATTAATCCGAAGGGAAAAGAACTGCGGATGCTGGAAATCAAAAACTGCTGAGAAAACTCAGCATGTCTGACAGCAGATGTGGAGAGAAAACAGAGTAAACTTTTCAGGTCTAGTGAAGGAGGCTGAGTTTTCTGTCTTTGTTATTAACCCAGAGACCCAGGTAGTGCGGGATAACAAGGTGTAGAGCTGGAGGAACACAGCAGGCCAAGCAGCATCAGAGGAGCAGGAAAGCTGACGTTTCTGGTCTGGACCCTTCTTCAGAAAAAAG